TCGAGACACTGTCGATGCTAATGCTGCTCAGTTGGGAGCGTTCGCAGTATTTCTCTGTCGGTATGGCATGAACAGATCCGGAAAGGGAAACACCTACTCTACGATTTGTAATAAGCTGTGTGCTGTGAGATGGTTTCACAAGCATACAGCAGGGTACGACCCCGGTGTGAATGCAGGACATGCTATTCTGCTTCGTGAAATTCGAAGATTTACAGACCCCGTTGTCAAGCAACAACCGCTTTCCCCCGCTCTTCTTCGTCTCGTCTATCAGGATTTGGACTTACGACGTTCACGGGATCAATTATTGTGGGGTGGTTTGTTGCTCGGTTTCTTTTTTTTATTACGGCGCTCCGAATACCTATTTATCGGGCGGAGACACCACAATTACGTCCTGCGACTGGGAGATATCCTCTTTCAAGACGGAGCAGGAAATCGTGCTAAACCACACCGAGCGGAAGTGGTGGGTATCCGGTTGCTGGGAGCCAAAAACAACCAATTCGGGCGCGAGGAGCGACGTTTTCATCATCGGTCAGGTGACGAAGTCCTGTGCCCCATCAAAGCCGCGCGATGGATCTTGCAAGGAGCCAAGTCCTACGGCACCGCCGCAGAGCAACCAGCCTTGTCCACTGGAGCCGGAAAGGGAATTACCGCGACAGAGGTGGCGCTGACACTGAAGCGGGCGGCCGCGTCGGCGGGACTTGATGCAAAGCTGTTACGACGCACTCGGTTCGAATTGGGGGAGCAACAGTTCTGATGAACTCGGGCGCCGATCGCCTAATTATCAAGTTGATGGGTCGCTGACTCTCTGATACATTTGAAGAATATCCAGTGCTGACATCGGACGGATCAAGAAAACTGGCAAGGCTGATATGCGGCGCGGCAGGCGATAGCCTGTAGTGGATGCATGGTGTGGATCGGCGGGATCTGTTGGGGCGCGCCACTCCACTCCCGAGAAGCTCAAAATGAAGTTGATTTTTCCCCACAGTGATCGCGATCCATGAAAATGTTGTACTTCACAAATACCCCATGACCTCGTAGCTGGCTCACCCATTTCGTGAACTAGCACTGGACGTGCTTGTGATTTTCCCACAATTGTAGCTTCATCAGAATTGTAACTCCCAGATTGTGGTAACACCAACTCGATGACCCCCACCATGTATTTCAAATAGAAGCACTGCCGGGCTTAATCGTCACACACACATGGGGTTCCAGGGATCCTGTTGTGTTCAAGCACTCATCTCCACCGCTACTTGACGAAGAAATCGCAACGTTTCTTGCGGTCCCAAGAACCTCTGTATGGACCGCACCCCACGTGTGGGCGACGCGAATGGCTGGGCCAGCGTCGTTGGTCTCACACGAGAGCTCGATATCGGACGGCTATCATGGCGAAGCGAACCAACAAAGGGGAGAAGAGAGTGATTCAAGCCGAAGCAGCATGGACCAAGGACTGCCCAAAAGTTAGCTCAGCATTGAAACGGGTGTCATGGGGCAGTTTGGCTAGAATCGTTGGGATTTCCACGTATCAGCGCTCCCTACTTTATCGTATCAAACTTCACGCTCTGTCGCTGTGGATCAAGAATCGCAAGGCAATTGCATGCCCCCATGACCAATGCGAACACCTTGATATATCGTTGGGACATGTTTTCTAGGATTGCCACTTCGCTCAACAAGCATGGAGCTGGATGCTTAAGCTGTTCACGAACCTCCACGAGGAACCTGCGACTCATGGGCCAGAGGAAATTTTCTCTTTCAGTTTGGACTACCCGCCGTCGAGGTGCATTGCTTTCAGGACGGCCTGGTTAGACAGTAACAACAAAAAAGATCAAGACATGACAACGGATACCATCGCGGAGGTGGTCAATAAGTATTGGAAATACGCAGTGATGCAGGTTCTCAGCTTGATATGGAGAGTACGACTGGACTTAATACGCAGTACTGAGTCGAGAATACCCACGGTAGATGAACGGCGGGCTCTCTTAGGACGGCAACTGCAGGAAGGATTCGACAACATTGCATTCTCGTTTCCTCTTACGGGGGAAAAATACGGAGAGTGGGTAGCGGCCATGGAAATTCGAAAAATGCTGCGCTATAAAAGTGGAGTCGCGATTGAGAACCCTCTCACCCAACCCGAATCGACGGTGAAGTATGTCGGATTCTTCGACGGAGGTTCACGGGGTAACCCAGGTCCCGGGGGGAGTGGCAGCGTCCTGGTCGAATTTGGAGTAGGTGCACCAAAGATTATCTGGATATGCAGTACATCACTCGCAGGGACCAGATGCACCAACAACGTTGCGGAGTTCCGGGGACTTTACAGTCTTCTGCTCTTTGTAGCCAAACGGAAGCTACCCACAGTTCATATTGTTGGCGACAGCCAGCTGATACTGCGGATGATGAAAGAACGACGAAGGCCAAAGTCTCGCAAGCTCCAAGGCTGGTATGACCGCGCTCGACCGCTGGCGGACATGGCCAGAATAGTATCGTGGACCCACCACTTGAGGCGGCATAATAAGATGGCAGACTGTATAGCGAATCTGGCTATGGACTCAAGACGCAGCCAGGAAGATGAACCGACAACAGATGAGATGATAGATTGGCGCTACCCAGGAGTACTGAGCCACCTTAGCGGGGACTGTACTCACTGGTTGTCAGCGAGAGAGGGCGAACCACGGTGACAGTCCTCCCTCTGGATATATACCTTTTGCATTTATAATAAGTAGCGTTTCCCAGCCCTCTTCAATTCGAGGCGGAAGGGGTTCGGCGTGAGCCAGTAACTCAATGCACCTCAACATTATTATTATTTCAGAAATGGAGCTGGTAGCCCCCGTCGTGGACTGCACGTTTGGTCTTTTGGTGCTTGGCGACCCAACCGCCGTCCGCGTGTACTACCTGGTGCGTAACCAGAGCGACACCGAACAAGTGTTACTGCTGTCGACTTCGCTGTCGGCGCAAGACTACCAAGTGGCTCAACAATTCCAGAGAGGACCCGCTGCAATTCTCCAACTCGCACCTATCAACGATACTCAGGCCACCACGCTGGAGCGTCAGCTCACGGTGACGCTCAACTATCCCTACGTATCCGACCCAGCGTTTGCCTACTCCGAACTGGAAGCAATTGATGGAGACAACTACTGGCTTTTGAAAACTTTCCCAAACCAACACAACGCAGACCCTGCCAAAACTGTGCGCATGGCTCGACGTTTTGGGCGATACAGGAGTGATCCAACCGCACAGTCCAACATCGAGACAGCGCATTGGGACCTACCCACTGACGCCGCTACCGAGCTGCGAGAATGGAGGTGGTATACTCGTGCTGTACTGGGCCTGGACGCACGCTATCCACGGCGCCTTCGCCCTCACTGACATCTTCAACCTGAGCGTACTGGCGTTCATCATCTATCGGCGTCTGCGCATGGGCCACGTCTGGGTGGGCGACGCCTTCGCCACCATCTCGAACTCGCTGCTGTACCGAGGCGTGATCGTCATTTTCTGCAGCCACTTGAACGGGTACTGGACCATCACCAAGATGTGCATCTCCATCGG